GACACTCAAAAAGGTAAAAGCTGCAATGCACCTCCACATGTGAATGAAGTAGGAAATGTGACCCACAGAAAAATAGAAATGTTAACCTACAAAAAGCGGCCATAAAAAAATACGGGTGGTGGAACTTGCAGACAGCATAAGTGACGATGGTGTGCTGAGCATAGCTCTCACAGGGACAGCAGAGGAAGACTGAGCGTGGGGACGGGGACACACCTGCCCTCCTCCCCTCCCCTTCCAGGTGAGCCCCCACAGGAAAGACGCACCCTACATGGCCACAGCTGGCATAATGTCCAGCCCCCTGCCACACCCTGTGACTATTACCAGGCCCCCTAGGTCATCCAGGTAACCACCCAGAGTGGGAGGCCAGGAGCCCAGGGGGGCTCTTTGTTCCCTGTCGAGTCTCTGTGGGGCGAAGTGGTCACAGCAGGTGGCTCAGACCTGGCTTCTCTGAGGACACTTCTTTGATCCACTCTTTTTGGATGAATATCCCCAAGCTGGGGCATGAGGCTGGCAGGGGAACAGGTGCCTTCAGGGCCACACTTGTGCTGCTTGGGCTCTGGGCACTCCTGGCTTTGGCCCAGTGCTCTCAAGGCCATCCCTCCTGGCGCTATGTGTCCTCCGAGGTGGTGATTCCTAGGAAGGAGACGCATCACGGCAAAGGCTTTCGGGTGCCAGGCTGGCTCTCCTACAGCCTGCATTTCGGGGGCCAGAGGTACGTCATCCATCTGCGGAGAAAAGCACTGTTTTGGCCCAGACATCTGCTGGTGACGACTCAAGACGAGCAGGGAGCCTTGCAGATGGACTACCCCTACGTCCCTTCAGACTGTTACTACCTTGGCTACCTGGAGGAGATTCCTCTGTCCATGGTCACTGTGGACATGTGCTATGGGGGCCTGCAAGGAATCATGAAGCTGGATGACCTTGCCTATGAGATCAAGCCCCTCAAGGACTCCCTCAGTTTTGAGCATGTGGTTTCCCAGATAACGGCGGAACGTGACGCAGTGGGGCCTATGTACAGTCTGGGACACAGAGAGGATGCAGACGCCCTGCTGCCTGCAGCACACACAGCCTCAACCGCCAGGATCTCAACCACAACATATGCTTCACACGCAGGCAGGATCCGCGGCCAAGTGCAGTGCTCCTACCTAATGTACCAGGTATACAATAACATGACGTTTATTGTGCGGTTCCTGGTGCACATGTTCAACATGGTGGACAGCTACTTCTCCAGCCTTCACGTGACCTACACCATCTTCCTCTTGACCATTTATAATGTGCGTGATCCATTCTTGATTGACATCAGAGTGCCTGACGGTGAGGCATTCGAATACTATAGCCGGCATTTTCGCATCCCTTACGGAATCACATCGTCCACAGTGGTGAACAAAAATTACCCACATGAAGGAAGCTATGAGCCCCCTCATTCTACAATGTGCCGTAATGAGAACCTGATCTTTGTTGCTTCCTTGGGTAGACACTTTGTATTTTTGTCTACTGTAGCAGCCAATGAAATAATGAGAAATTATGGGGTGTCCTATGATGAGCCAGAGTGCACCTGCTTGAGAAGGACCATCTGCATCATGGATAGGTTCCCGCTGCTCACGGACAGATTCAGCAATTGCTCCCTTGTGGACATGAACAACATTGCAATGAGGGCATCGGGGAAATGCCTGTTCCCACCATACAGAGAGTCTCTCAACAAAAGCCTGACATTTGTGCGCTGTGGAAACAACGTGGTGGAGGACCAGGAGCAGTGTGACTGTGGGTCCCTCAAGCAGTGCTACCACACTGACTGCTGTGATACCAACTGCCACTTAACGCCGGGCAGCCAGTGTTACGTGGGTTCTTGCTGCACCAATTGCACCTACTCAGCCTTGGGGACCCTGTGCAGGCCCATGCAGACCACATGTGACCTTCCAGAGTACTGCACCAGTGGCTCCCAGAACTGCCCTGAGGACTTTTACTTGCAGGATGGGACCCCGTGCTCACAGGTGGGCTACTGCTACCACGGGAACTGCACTGACCGCAGCATTCACTGCAAGGAGATCTTTGGTCCGGACGCTGAGGACGGGAGTAGTGACTGTTACGACATCAACATGGAGAGCCACCGATTCGGGCACTGCTCCAGAGAAGAGGACAGCAACACTTACCAGCCCTGCACTATAGAAAACAGGATGTGTGGGCGGCTGCAGTGCAGAAACGTCACCCGCCTCCCCCAGCTGCAGGATCACGTCTCGTTCCATCAGTCCATGACGAGTACTGGGACCGTCTGCTTTGGGCTGGACGAGCACCGCTCCACAGGCACCAACGACGCTGGGCGCGTGCGGCCTGGTACCCTCTGTGCCCCTGGGACTATCTGTGTTAATGGCCAGTGCAGCGGGCCTGTTGAGGACCTGAATTATGACTGTACCCCTCAGAAGTGCAATTACCGAGGTGTGTGCAACAACAACAGGAACTGCCACTGCCATGTAGGCTGGGACCCTCCCCTGTGCCTACGGCGAGGTTTTGGTGGGAGTGCAGACAGTGGACCCCCTCCAAAAAGATTCCGTGAAGTAAAGCTGTCGGAGCAATCGGTTTTCTACTTGCAAGTGGCTGTTGGGCGCTTTTTTGCCTTGCTGGCTGCACTGCTCTTTGGAGTGGCCACAAATGTCCGAATTATTTTGGTTGGCAAAGAAGCTGAGGAGTCAGAGTCTGATGAGGAGTATGAGGATGAGGAGGAGGAGGAGGCTGAGCCTGAGCCTGAGCCTGAGCCTGTGCCTGAGCCTGCACCTGAGCCTGAGGCTACATAAAAGTTTCAGCTTCCCACCCATCAGAACACAGGGAAGCAGTTGGAACCTCTAGGAAAAGGAAGCGGCAGAAGAGATGGCAAAGCTCGAGTCCATGTTTGGTGAACTCTTCAGGGGACTTGGGTCCTCCCTGAGGTGGCGGGAGAGCGAGAGGCCTTGGCTTCTGCCTCAGGTGCTCTTTGTACGTCACTGATGTTTCCTCAGAAATAAAGCATCAAACCATATGCCGTTATGCTCTTCACCCTTTATGGGCTGTTAAGTCGCAAACTGTGCCTGAGCCTTTCCCTGGGAGAGGTGCCCCGAGCTGCACAACTCTGTAGCAGTGTTGATTTGCAGCGTTTTTCTAAGTACTGTGCAGTTAAAGCTATACTTCTTTTATATTCACTGTTAGGAAGCCTCATACTCTTCTCAAAACACTCCTGACACCCTATCTCGGAACCTTCCCCCAGATTTCCCCATTCAGCCCACGTTTAAGATTATCCTGGCCCATTGCTGTCTGTGCCTTCATTGTTTCAGCAGTGAGTCCAAACGAGACATTTAGAAGTGAGGTCAGGAGTAAAGTGCCCACCCCTGCTGCGTCCCTGGGGTTGGCAGCAACACCACCCATTTATCCTCCCACCCCAGTGGCCTCCAACCTGTTCCTGGGGCTGCCCTCCTGCCGGGTCCTCCCTGAGCTCTGGGGACCACCTGCTCGCTGTACACACAGGAGCCCCAGTGCTGAGCAGGCCCCTCCCTTGGGCTGGTCTGTGTCCATCTCCACATCCCACACAGGTGGGACTGACAGGGACACTGCTCAGGGGTGGGTGAGGCATGGGGGGAAGGCAGGCAAAGGTGGACTTGGCTGAAGAAATATTATAGGTTGAGTATACATAGTCATTGCAAGCAAACTTTTACTTGGTTTTACTAAGTTCATACTGATGTCAGGTGAACACAGTGTAGAAGAACAAAACTACGAACACAAATCAATGCTTCACCAGGAGAAACAAACCCCATTGCTCTCATGGACGTGGTCTTTCAAGAATGTCCTTGTTGCCATCGCAGAGTCTGCATGCTGTGGTGCCTAATTTCTGAACCATCCTCCTGCTTCTCCTGATCACTCCTGGGCACTGGGTGACACCACCAGGCAGATCAGAAGTTATGCAGGTCTCTCATCATTAGGGGCTTGAGCAGAGGATGGCTCCTAGGTTGCTGGTGTGGATGCTGAGGCTGCCCTGAGCAGGTGTAAGTGCCCACCTGTGGGTGGGGAGGAATGCATGGAAGAGCCCCTCTGTGGGGCTCTGGGTTCTGAGGGAAATCCTGTCTTGGGAATGACCAGGCCACCCAGGGTGTGAGGCCGGGTTGGAGTCTGGGCCCTTGAGGGCTCTGGGATCACAGGGTGATTGGCTCCAGGGGCCATTCTGCTTCTTGACTGCGTACTGTCAAACATTACCTCTTCCCATCCTGGTGCCCCCTCTTTCTAGGTTGGGCCTGCCCCAGTGCCTGCAGATCCAAGTCTTCTCTTGGAGTAGACCATATAGCGTTAAGGAAAGGAGAAGCCAGAGGTAAGCTTGGAACATTCAGCAATCATAGGAAACACCTTGGTGATAAGGGCATGGGGAAGGGTTTCAGCTCTCAACATGAGAACACAAGAGCTTGCGAGATAGGAGCATTAGTGGTTGTCAGTCTCTACACCTGTGGTGCTAAGAGCCACAAGGTCACCTGTATGAGAAGCTTCAGGAGAAAGCAGTCAGGGAATGCTCATTCTTTCATGGAACAATGAAACACTCACTCTGACTCTCTCTCTCTCTTTTTTTTTTTTTGGCAGTTTTTGGCCAGGGCTAGGTTTGGACCTGCCACCTCTGACATATGGGGCTGGCATCCCACTCCTTTGAGCCACAGGCACTGCCCTCACTCTGACTCTTTCGCTTGTCCTGCCTATAGAACACCTGTATGGAGTCTCTATCAAGACTGCTAAGATTCATTCTCTTACTAAGACTGCTTCTCTTCCTAAAATACTGTCTCTCTCTCTCTCTTCCTTTTGATAAAGTGAATAGCCCACAGGCATCTAAGGGTAATTGTTCCTGAACAAGATGATAGCAAAGAGGTCCATAGATAAGCCCTGGACCGACACTCTCTGCTGTGTTCTCTGCTTCAGGCTGCATCTATCCTGAGCACTGGTCTTCTAGTTCAACCCCCTCTTCTTCTTTGCCTAATCAACTGTGAATCCACCTGCTGTAATTCTTTTCTAGTGCCCCACTGGATTTCTATCTTAGGGATGTTGACATCCATCATGTGCCACTTTTCTTCATTGTAAATGTTTCATTTCATGCTCAGTGATTTCAGAGTGGAGACCTTGACAGCTGGGCGTCCCCCAGTGTCTGTTTCCCTTGTCTTCCTTCCCTGTTTGTGGTCTTTACGTCCTGCCTCCTGCCATGACCGAGTCTCTGACTGAAGGTCAGAGACAGCTCTTGATACAAGTGGAGACTCTTTGTAAAGTGACCTTCCTCTGGGGAAAATCACTCCCTACCCAATATCCCCAAGGTGAAGGTAGAGGCCGATTGCTGCATTCAAGGACTGAGCTAGTTTGATGTTGGGCTTCAGTTTGTGTGACTTCTTCTGTGTTTAAGGTTTCTCTAGTTACAGGGCACAGGCTTCCAGGCAGCTCCTGTGAGATCAGGGTAGTTGCCCTTCATGAGGTCAGAGAGTCCATGTGACCTAATCTGTAAAAGACTATAGGAAGCTTGGCTTAGGAGTGATTTTTCCTTCCCTCCCCTGTATATGTGTGTGTGTATATATATATATATATATATACCTCCAAATGTGTATGCAGCACTCACCTTTGATCTGTACATGAGAGTCTATTTCCCTCAAAACACTCAGAATGTTTGTGCCTGGACAGGGACCCTTCACAGCCACAGCACCGGGGACTCAGACAAATGTGGATGCACCGCAGTAAACAGATATGCAGAGAAACAGGGGTTACAAGCCACTGGGGAAAAATCACAGATGAGACATGAAAATGCAATGCAAGTCCAGTGCTTGTGATCTGTTGCTATTCTCAGAAAACCCTGTGGTGAGTTGACCCTCAGGGACAGGTCACACCTGGAGGTGATAAATGAGCTGATCTTCAGGGACAAGCCACATCTGGAGGTGACATGTGAACTGACCCTCAGGGGCTGGCCACCTTGGAAGTGATAGTTGAGTTCACCTTCAGGGCAGTCCATACCTAGAAGTGACAGGCTAGGTGACTTTCAGGGACATGCCAAGCCTAGAAGTGACAGGTGAGATGGACCTTCAGGACAGGTCACACCTGGATGTAAAAGGCAAGTTGATCTTCAGGGACAGACTACACCTGGAAGTAACAGGTGAGCTGACTTTCAGGACAGGCCACACCTAGAAGTGAGCTGGCCCCCAGGGAAAGGCCAAATCTGGAGGTGACTTGAGAGCTGCCTTTGGCAGAGAGGCCTGAGGACAGCAGGAACATGGGTGAGGAGACAGAGGGCTGGAGGGCAGCAGGCTGGAGTGTGTGGAGACAGAGGGCAGGGGGCAGCAGGGTGGAGTGTGTGGAGACAGAGGGCAGGTAGGCAGCAGGGTAGAGGGTGTGGACATGGAGGGCAGGTGGGCAGCAAGGTGGTGGGTGTGGACATGGAGGGCAGGTAGGCAGCAGGGTAGAGGGTGTGGACATGGAGGGCAGGTAGGCAGCAGGGTAGAGGGTGTGGACATGGAGGGC